TTAATTCTTCATCTAATGATGTTAAGTTTTTGGTTTGATTGATTGCTTTATCATCTTCTGGTGATGGATGTTTGATTTTATTTCTCTCTTTATATGTAGCACAATCTAAAACATTGATGAATAATGCCGTTGCTTTTGTATAAAGTGGTGGTATTTTCTCATTATTTTTCCAAAATTGTAAAGCAATTAAAGCTGCAGTTACATGAGAGCAACTGCCACCTGCAGTACGCAAACCACTCTCGCAAGTACAATATGAAGCGGTATCATCAAGTTTATTTTGCCCAAAACGTATTCATACAGTAGGTTTCTTTGGTTTGTCAGTTGTCTTATACCTTGAGACAATATTTTTTATTTTGATTGTTGATAAAAAGTCATAGTGGATACACGTTGTCCATTGTTGTTGATTGTGTCCTAAATATGCATGCGCTACTCGTATTGAATATTCACTGCTGAATTTCTTGATATCATTATAATCATATAATGGAATTATAGTGCTAATATCGCTTGTATTAGCTTTTCTCCAACCTATTGTATCTGCTTCTAATGACATAACTTCATTTTCTAACTCTAAGTTACTTATAATGGCTTCGGCATCTGCATAAGCTTCATCACTATCTTCAACAAGATTGCAAAAAAAAGCATTATCAACAGCACATAATATCTTCATAATTGTATCTATAATGGGTATATATATTCCGTATTAACCACGGAATTAATAAACTTCCATTGCTTTAATCTCCCAAAACCTCTTTCAATAGCATTACGAGTTCGAGTTATGTATCTGGTTTGATTGGCTTTTGTTGTTGGTAGTTGTTTTTCACATTTACATATACAGGGTGGCCCAGAAATCCGTATGGAAAAAAATTTGAATATCTCCCTTACGGCTCGATCAAATGAGATGATTTTTTTTATCAATGATAGAGGCATGTTCAAAGTTTATATCCATCTTGGCATGCCTAGAGAGACCCTTTGTTAAGTACCACTATTGGTCTCAACACCCACACCCCTACTTTTTCACAGATAGGAAAAAAACAATATACTTAACAAAGGATTTCTCTAGGCATGTCAAGATGGATATAAACTTTGAACATGCCTCTATCATTGATAAAAAAAAATCATCTCATTTGATCGAGCCGTAAGGGAGATATTCAAATTTTTTTTCCATACGGATTTCTGGGACATCCTGTAGAATCAGGTGTATATAAATTCCATTTACTTTTACACTGAGTGAAACCTCTATCACCAATAAACATGTCATTTCTTAAGAATGTTCTATGAAGGTGTTGCTTTTGATCAGATAAACCTTTACTTTCAAATTGCTGCAAACTATCATCACTAAGTGCATTCCAAATTAACTCGTCATTGTTGTATCCATTTGAATAATATGGATCATAAATATCTAACCATTTACCATCTAATAACATAACCGCCATTATTTTTATCAAATTGTTTGCTTTATGCTGAGAATAGCTTTTCTTTTGATTATTGAAATTCCATGATTTTTGTATATAAATATATGTAGAATCAATCATAACAACAGCGTTTGGTAATAATAATTTTATCCATTCTGGAGAATGATTGCGAATAATGTTCTGTCTTGTAAAAACTTGAGAACCGATATGTTTCGGTACAAATGCATGTGACATTTTCTCAATTGTTTCATGAAATATTTGTGAAACTCTTTGTTGAGTAATGTCAAACAGTACACTTGCGAATGCTTGACTAATTCCTCGAAACATTATTGTAAAAAATATAAAAACATTTTGATTTGACGTGCTTATTGCTGATGCTATTTCTGATATTTCAGCTTTCGATAATCGAGAAAACATTTTACATTGCTTTTCCTCCACATCGTCAAACCTAATAGATAATGGTGTCTTTTTCTTTTTGGGTTTCAGTTGTTTTGATAATAAATTGGATATGGATCTATTTATTCCAACAGATGAATCTTTTACATTCTTAATCCATGTAGAAATATCAGATGAACTACAATCTCCACATAAATAATGATGATGTTGTAAAATTATATGATAATTATTAAAAATATGACGAGATACATCTTTTCGTATTATAACACATTTTTTGCTGCTTTTTCTCGATCGCTGTTGACCAACATCTCCTCTATATAAACTTTTATTGCACCCAATACAACTTCCAGTAGGAAGTGTGCACATGAAATAATTTACCATTATTTAATACTTCAATGGAACTAAAATGATGCAAGGACAAAATAATATTAAACTTAAGAGACGTTCCACGAGAAAATGAACCTACTCACATATAAGCCTGCATACGGCAAAATTTTGATTTTGAAATGAGCCTGCCCATTCGATAGAGCGTAAAAAGTTATGGTTAAGACCAAATTTTTAGTCCTTTCTGACGATCCTATCAAGAGATATGAGTTAATCTTTAAACCCTCCCTCAAGTCCTACTCGTGAAATTTGATGATTTTTTGAAGTTTTTATTGTGGACCTTATAGGTTTATCGAATGATATTGAAGACCCCAACATTTTTATACCAAAAGATGCGTCTTGATGAGATCTATCACATTCACGAGAAAAAAACTAGATTTTGATAGAAAAATCTTCATTAATCACTATTTTACCGCTGTTTTTCATGAAAAAAATGCGATTTTTTTGGGTGAAATTTGCATGTTTTTACCATGAAAAGATATCAAGACAACTTTCTCCCAAAATTCTTTTTATACCAAAAGATAGCCCTTGAAAAACTACATCTTTTGGTAGGTGAACGACTGAAAAAAAAACTTGCCGAGTAAATAGAATTTTTCACTACAAAGAGACGTACTATAACACTTTTTCTATAATCTCTGATTTCTATGGATTTTTCATGAATTTAATGAACTCCTGCGGTTATATAGTTTAGAATTGTTTTTCAATGCTAAAAGATAAGTGTATATCTCTCTGAAAAAACCTTTATTTCAACTAATGATATATACAAGGTCCGTTGAACCTATAATCTACTCGATATATCCTAATTATCAAACTGAAATTCATTCATACATTACTATAAAATTGAATTTTCTTTTTCAAATCAATAAATATAACTGTGTATACAGTAACTACATTGATTTTTCTCCTCATACGAGAAGTACGTCGTCATATCTGTCTTACTATAAATGATCTATGTCAATGTTCAAATTGTTTTTCTTTGAATTCGTTTGATAAACGACTTCATTCTTTCTACCATGATTATTGTCAATTCTTTAATCTGATGCAATTATATGAAATAAAAGTAATAACAATCCCCAGAATTCGCAGCAAAAAGCATTGATTTAACTGCAAATTATTTATCATGCTTTCAAAGTAATTATGCAGTATGTGTTATAATCATATTTTTGATGCATAATTTTTTTACATTTGAAAATGTATCGACATCGAATTTGGTTTAAGTCTTCAATAAAAATATATTGAAAAACAATATGTTCAACATGAAACACGAATTTTTAGTCTACTTGCTGTTCAATAGCGACACATACCCTGGATTTTGCTCATCCTTTGATGCGGGCGTGTTCTTTTTTGTCGTTCTCTTATTATTGTCTGCTATGTGTCATTCTCATCTATATAGGCCAGACAAGAATCAGCTTTGAACATATGTTATCAAACGTATGCATATGTATATATATATATATATATATATGTGGGTGTGTGTATACTGAACCACATTTTGTTTCTTTTTCTCCTATAGGATCACTAACTATGTGAAACCAAGTGTTCATGTTCATGAGAGATGGTCGTATGATAACTAGGTATGATATTCAAGTAGATATGAACCGATTCATTTTTAATATGCACATGATATACTTTATCGTATCTGTAAATATATAGATACAATAAATATGACTAAGTTATTTTAGATTCTCTCAACAAATAAGTTCTGTATCAATATACTTCATTTCCGTATCGAACTCAGTTTTAATATATAAAATTCATATATTTTCTAATCTTCATCATAAAAAAATATCAAACCAGATTTTTGATATCAAACTTTAATCGAAAATATCTTCTCGTATGTTCTTTTTTATGTCAATACATATTCTATTTATTTTTCATTTTCATCCAGTGACAAATATGACTATGGAGGTTGATTATGTTGGTAATTGTTTTTTCAATTCAACTGTTTCGATGCTAGGAAAGTTTGTTTTGTAATTTTACATTAATTTTTTCTTTAGATTCAATGTGATGGGAGTAAACATGAGCTCGAGCGATTTATGGAATCATCTACCTATTCTAGCGATTTTCAGTCTATGCTCGAATATTTGTTCTTTCGAGCTGGACTATTCGATCTAAAACCAATAAACTTATATAATCAATTTATATGCTCGAATCATCTAAAATATTTGAAAAAAAATGATAAAAAACGATGTCATACATGTATATCTATAAGAAAAGAAGATGTTACAAGTAACGGGTGGCGCAGATTAAATGGACCTCTCAGTATTTTGAATTTTTTTCATCTATTATTCGACATAGAAAAAAGCTTTTTTTATAGAAAGATTCCTCGTCAAATTCTCTACAAAACGTATATATTTTTATTATGTCAAATGGTTTCTATTATTTTGTGACATGCGACACAATCGATCGGTGCAAGAAACACAATTTTCAAACAAGAAGTTTTTAGTAGGATTAGCATATTTT